TAATAAATGATGGTTAGGTGGTGTTGGTTTAGATCGTTTAACAGCAAGTGTAATATTTGAAGCTCTATTATATGGAGATGTAACAACAACAGCCTATTTAACAATTTAAAATATGTGTGCTTATATGGTGGATTAATTTGGTAATGAAGAATAAAAATAAACATGGATACCTAGATTTGGAAAATTTGATGCATTTGCATCATATTGCTTAACAGAACCAAATAGTGGTAATGATAGTAAGAATATGAAGAAAAAAAAGTATAATATAATTAATAATTTAGGATGGAAATGATTATGTAATAAATGGATCTCAATTTTTTATTTCTGGAGATTTAGTTAGTGATGTTTATTTATTATTCAAATTAATAAAAATAAACATTAGAGAATAGTTCATTTAGAACGTAATTATTGTATTGTAATTAAAATAAATTTATTTCAGAACTTGTCTCTTTAATTTGTTTAAGTTAATCCTTAAATTAAAATTTAAATAATCTCATTGATTAAGATTTATAAAAAATTATATATTAGATACTATAGTTAGTCAGAATTGCAAATCTAATTTTATCTCCTTTTAATAAAAGTAATAAAATATAACATATATTATTAGGTAAGTAATAAAATTCTACTTATTTTTTACCATAGCAAGGTTATTTAATTAGAATTGTAAAAAAAAATAAAAGATCTGAATCTTGGAATCATGAGATTTTTAGATCTAAGGATTAATCCATTCACAATGAGGTTTCTAATCAATCTTCTTTTAACTCATCTTCAGATTGCAATAGCAAGTTCTTTCTGATTAAATTAACAATGGAAGATATACGCAATATAAGAAAGATTAACCATTTCAAAAAAGAAGTAATTTTCAACTATTTTAAAGACTTTGAGGTTGTATATACAGGATCTTTCTAAGTAGAATATAGAACTGCGTTAACTTTATTAAATCTAAATTTGATTGTATTTTTTTGAATGAAATTAAAGATGAAAAAAATATTCCAATCAATAGTAAGAGTTAAAAAATTGAAAATTTGCAATTATTTTATGTTATTAT